AATATTGATAAGTGTGCATGCCAGACTTTCAGATTAGAATAACCCTTTTTATGTCTTACTGTCCCAAATCCTGTATCACTGTTTGAATCTTTCTGCTGTTATTGGGGGAAACTTGTGCCATTCCACTAAGATTGGAGTCTTAGTATTCTTATGATTTAGACTCTTTGCTGATTATAGCAAACCAGGTGATGTTGATTTTTTCCCCCTCTGGGCTCAGTTGTTACCCTTAAGTTTAAAATAGATATTTATAGTATTTTGTGTAGACTATCCAAGTCTTTAGTAACATTTGCTTTTTGCAGTGTTTGCCTTTCATGAAATGGCAGTTCCAAGTATATCCCTAATTGGCTGGCAAAGCATTTGAATAGATTGCAACAGCGATTGTGGACAATTTCCCATTTTAGACCAGGAATTTGTGGGGTCAAACATAGAACAATGAAAGAGATTCTTGCTCATCTAGAGGCTGGAGGAACCCAGTGGCAGTGGAGGGTTTGAATTGTAAATCAAGCCTGTCAACTCCTTGTCAACTATGAAAAATCTCAACTCACTTTATGTACTGTTAGGATTTGTTATTAGGGTTTTTTTTATTGTTTTCCAAAAATTCAAAGGGAAATTGGACTCATGAGGCATTTGTTCTAATAAAGCATTGAATCTGAATTTTGGAGAAGAGGAACAAAAATTAGGACTATATAGAAATTATTAAATGGTGACAGAGTGTCTCCCACAATTATGACTGTGTCTAACCAAAGTTATGGTATCACTCAGTGTTTTTCAAAGAGTGCTCCACAGGGGTCATTTGTGGCTCACACATGGTTAAAAGATTGGACTTTAGTGGTTTCAAGGTCTATGGCAATGTTAACAGACTGAATTTATAATGAATTAATACATTTGCTTGTGAAATTTAATAACAACTAGTGTCATCTCATTGTTTCCACCAAAAGCAACTTTGACTTTTTTTCCATTAAATCTGGAGAGATTTATTCTCTGATCATAACTGGGTAGAGTGAGTGGCCCACACAACCTCTTGTTCCACTGAAAATTTGATTCTGGGCAAAAAGTGTTTGAAAACCACTGCCTCAGGAGTAGAGAATGGGCAACCTGTTTGGGGTGGTTTATTGTGATGACTCAGGATTCATTACCCATTCCACAAATATTTATTGAATGCCTGCTATGTAAACTTTATGCAGTGGAGCCTGGGGTATGGTGATTGCCAACCAAAATTTGGTTCATTAAAAAACCACAACCAGGGGCTGGCCCGGTGGCGCACTGGATAGTGCGCCGCTTGGGAAGCGCGGCGGGGCCCCCGCCCGAGGGTTCGGATCCCACATACAGACCGGTTCCCGCTCACTGGCTGAGCGAGGCGCGGGAGCGACACCGAGGGTTGCAATCCCGTTGCCGGTCCCCGGTCCGGTACGGGGGCAACACTGAGGGTTGCGATCCGTTGCCGGACATGGAAAAAGACAAAAGACAAAAAAAAAAAAAAATACCCCAACCAGTAAAACAACTGAATGGGAAATGAGAGGATGAGGCCTGACTTCTGAGGACCAAATGTGGAACAACCTGGCTAAAATCATGTCTGAGTAATTTGCCCCCACCTGATGGATGATAAAAGAATCTATGCAGGGATTTAGTAGGAGTCCGTTTGAAAGAATAATTATTACAATATGTGCTAGAAAAGAACCATAATGACAGACCATAAAAATAAACCATGGCTCTTGACTAATGCATCAGACCAGATCATACTAGTTGATAAAAATAAAGCCTACGTGGTAGAGTGGTACCATTTAGTAAAACTATTGCAAACACCTACACAGAAAGGAATGACCAGGGGAGTGCTGCTTGCAGAGGGCTCAATGTGGGTACTGTAGAGCATTAAAATAAAGCTGTGGAGGTTTACACACTCACATATACACACCCACTCCCCTCAGACCTTATTAATCACTTAAAACTTATTTTAGTTTAGCAACTGCCATGTTACCTTAAGGATTTGATTCTCATACTATATTGCCAAAACATATTTGGTCCATAGCATGAAATAAATTGATACCGATTCATTTATGTTTAAACAATAAAAATAATAAAATGACAATAGCAACTCAGTAGAACCTATTGATGACTAAACACTAAATGATTTGAGGACAGACTTGGTATTTCTCAAATTGTGTCTCCTGAGGCACATTTCTTTTACTGGCATATCTCAGTGGATTTCAAATTAGATGGATCATATTCCTCTAAACATACCATCCACATCATGAAAGCTCTGTAAGACAGAGTAACTATGTCAAGGGGAAATATGGCTGAACTTTGTCTCCAAGCACCAACATCATAGTATAATTCCAAGGTATTTGCTGCAGCTCATATGCAAAATGTAACGATAATTAAGATCAGGTAGCCAATGTCGATATTAAATTGCTAAAGTATTAGTAGTATGGGACTGAATTTATGGGGAAAGTCAGTGTTTTGGTGGACCAGGGTTTGGGATGGAGTTGTGACTGTGGTAGAAAACTTTGTCCTCACGCTTATGTGCATGGGTTTGGTCAATCTCTTTCCTCACTTTGGTTACTAATGAATGTTTTTAAATCTTCAGCAGTAACACTTCTAGTCTTGACCACTGCTATTGGTTGGGCATTGATCTGATTATTATCATTAATTATTATTTTCAGACGTAGACCATAAATGTGTATATATGAAACTTTCCTGTTTTACTGTTACGTAATCATAATGTTGGCTAGCAACTAGAGCTTTTAAGTGGTACCCAAGAAAGACTCACCTTACTCAAATAACGTAATAATTTATATTTTATAATTTTATAAATAGGGAGTAATTAATATTAAGGAGAAGTTCCAGTGACGCTTTCCCACAAAACCTCCCCTACCTCTAAACACACATGCTTAGACACAGCCCTTTGTCCAGAATTTGAAAATGTCTTAACTGGCCCTGTAACTGATCAGTATGACACAGGACTGAGGGAGATGAAGACTGATATTTATACCCCTCTTGTGAAGGAGGGTACATTGAGGCATGAAGTAATTAAATGATCTGGCAATGGTCAAGCAGATGAGGGCCACAGAGACAGAGAAGTTCCAGAAAAGCTTTTAAAAAAATTTACTAGAAAAACAAAGCATGTTTATTTAATGGATAACCCAGTTACTCTACTGTTCATTCTATCATGGATCAAAGTCATTTTCTCAGCTTTAAAGTCACCCTTTATTTTGAGACTTAGAAGTAAATTGTCAGTATTCATAGTGGGGAGGAGTGATGCCCTGTTACCCGTGATGGCAAAATCAAATGAAACATTAGATATGGGAAGTTACCTTCGTTGCTCATGACTCCTCAGACAAGGGCAAGCACAAAGACCCCAAAGATATTTGTGACTTTTTCTTCTTCTAAATATAATATAGTAAAAGAGTTTAAATGATATGCTTTATACAGGAAAGCTATAAGATTATGCTAATAACTATATCGATGAGTGACCGGTGGGAAGTCCTTGCCAGTGGAGAGTGAGAAAGGCATTGCTCCATGAAAATTGTATGCTCATGAGGAGTAGTGGTTTGAAGAAGGTTTACATTTTAAAATTTATTTCATTTTGTTTTTTAATATCTGACTGACTGTGTTATCTAAGCAAGTCTTTTTACTTGCTGCTTCAGAAAAGTGAAAGTATGCATATTTTCCCAAAGAATATACATCAAATGTGTTAGTGTTTGGGGGGGAAGGTGTAACGACATACAAAGTAGAACTGGTTTTGGTTGAAAGACAATGATGCTTCCTTCAGACAAAGGGTGACTATTCCATGACTCCAAGCAGAGCTCCCCTTTTAGGGGCAAAGGTTTGGGAGTCCTTCTGGAATCACCTACAGGCAGTATTATAAAAAAGTAAATTGCTTCCTGTGCTCTGAATTAAAGCAGTAGGTTTAATTCACTAATAGAGACATGTAACATTAGCAGCACATGTAACTTATAAAAATTCAACTCTAAAATGCGGGAAAAATGAGAATATGATTTAGAAAACTATTTAAATTGTGTAACCTAAATTTGCATAGTACCTCCTATGATTTTTTAAAAATTATGTTACTGTGTATATTGGTAACCATAAATATACACTTCTTTTTTGGCTTTTGGAAGGATTTGCAAAGGTAATTTTAACTACACTCAATTTTTGCCTAATGAACAAACCTTAGAACTGAACTGCTACATAAAAAGAAACTACAGTATAATTTAACATATGTCTGATTACAATGTTCGGCTTTTCTCCTTGAAAGCTGCCTTATTCTGAAGAATTTATCTCGACTGGACGGGTAGCAGCTTTAATCTAATGTTAATTTCAAATCAGTTTATAAACCCAAATTAACAAAATATCCAAGGTAATTTTTTTTTTTTCATTTTCTGTTTACCCCTGCAAATTTGGAAAATCTTGTTGAGACATCATTGCATGCCTGAGACTAAAGGAAATTTAAGACCATGGTTTACCACCAGAGTCATGTGGTTCACTGGTCCCAGGGCTACTTTTGCATGCCTTGGAAATACTGAAGCTTGCTGGGGTGATCATGGGTGTATCATTGAACGTGTTGCTCAGGGTTAACCCTCACAATGATGATTACCCGGTGACTGCCCCGCTTTGCTGTCCTAAGTAGCCAACACCAAAAGCTTCCAGTGGGACTGAAGAAGGATTGGTGTGCACTTTGCTTCAGGATCTTCCTGCACAAGTGGGGTCTTAACTGTTAGGTGGTTTTCCATAGGCAGGATTTCTGCTGGCGATAGCTCCATGGCAGTTTTCTTCAAATTATGGTTCATATGCACTCAAGAAAGCACAATAGGAGCCACGACTGGGGGAGCCCAAGGAACTTCAGCACAGCAGGACCTGTGTTCACCCCTGTTAATGTCTAATTTGGGAATTAGTGTAGAAAGTGGGCTCCGAGTGATTGCCTTTCTCTTGTTTCTCAGGTGGAAGTAGGAGATACTCATGGATTTCTGTTTTCCTTTCTCCCTCTCCCTCTGACCTTTTAGATTTATGAGGAATCCAAGATGAATTTGGAGCAGGAGAGGCCATTTGTGTGCAGTGCCCCAGGCTGCTCCCAGGTGAGTGTGTGGATCCTCGTGCTCTGTCATGCCACGCAGCAAAGGCACCTACCTCCCCACGGGGATGCAGCTGTTGCCTGGCAGCAATGACGCCCTGGGCTTTCCTTCTTTACCAAGATACTGTCAAAGTTCCCTTTTCCATTATCATTGTGATCATTGTCAGCTTCATCACTGGTATTATATTCTGTTTTGAATAGTTCAAATGACCTTCTTCACATCCCCTGAAATATAGCAGTATTGGACATTTCCATGCATAACTCCCCCCTGGAAACAAACCAGACACATCCTGCCCACTGGACATGCAGGGCTGTCATTTCAGAAAGAGGGAAGGAAGGTGCCTACATTTACAAGAGCCACTTGAATACTGGCTAGGCCTCTGGATTACTGGTGAAATAGCTCAACATCATAGGTTGAATTCTATTTTGTTTTGTTTTCCCGGTAGAGTAAAAGAAATCTCCTGTGGCTCTTCTAGAACTTATAGTTTTCCCATGTATCTAACTTTAAGAGGGGAGTTGTCCTGCTCTGTTGGATTAAATATCGCTCAGCCTCTGATGGCTTCCATCAAGTGGAATTAGTGTGGGGATTAGATGAGATACTGCCTGTAGAGTGTTTAGAATAGGACCTGCACATAATAAGTGCTCAATTAACAGTCACTGTTGTTACACTGTTGCTGCTGTTCCTGCTGCTGCTACTACTATTGTACTGGAACCTATTTCTTTGAAACAAATTAGAAACATCCATCAGCTAAAATCATAGTATTGCATTTTACCTTTGAAACTTGATGGTAATTTTTTTCTACTGTTGACCCTTTGAGTATCTTCACATTCCAGTCATTGGAAAATGACCACACATGTTTGCTCTCGTCAAGATCTTCATTTTATGGCATATAGGACAAGTTTACCATTCAGCATAGGCATCTTTCCAATGTGGGCAATTACACTCTTTTTCTGGACTGCCCAGGAGTTTCAAGGGAATCAAGCCCCACTCTCCTGCCTGTTTATGTAGTGGGGTTGGAGTCAGATAAGAGGTGGTGCTCATTGAGGACTCTCCTTGTATATCTCCCTGGAGAGTTTGTGGAGGATTTGGGAGCCTTCCGAGGGAAGAAGCCACAGGAACACAAGACATTGTTGCTGGTGTCCTCAGCCTCTGACTGAGCAGCCAGGCCTTTGCGCAGGTGTTGCAAGTTTCACCGAGGGCTTTTGTGTCAATGTTTATTTACAATCTATAAATAAGAAAAGCAGTAGAAAAAATTATTTTGAAGCAAACTGACTTTGGAGGTCATTTTGAAGTAGAAAACACTAAGAAAACACAGATAGGTTGAAAAGTAACTGGGAAACATCCTGCTGGACCAGGACTCTCCAATGTCAATGCAGAATACACCTTACTAAGTTACTAAGGTAACTAAATTAAAACTTAGAATCTAGCTAAGATAAAACTGACTTCCACTCAGTTTCTTTAAAGAGAAGTCTCAATAGCCAATGGGAACAAGATAATTTGAGCAGTTTGCCTTGCTTTGGCTGTAAAAGTGTGACATTTTTATTCAGTTCAAGTCGCTCAACACACTTTTTGGGAGCTTTATCTGCACCAGGCACTCTGGTTGCCCCTGTGAAACAGGAGAGCACAAGACACGTGCGTTCCTGTCCTCACAGAGCTTCTAGTGTAAGTATCGAATCCATAACCACATGATCAGTTAATCAATTAGTTCATCAATTGCAGTTTTCCATGAAGGAAGATCATAGGCCACCTTGAAGAGTATAATAGGGGTATTTCTTTACTTGGAAGAGGTAAATAGAGGCTTCTCTAAGACGGGCATTTAATGGAATGAGATTGTGAGGAGACCCAGCAAAGTCAAAAGGGGGTTCAGGGTGAGGTAGGATTCCCAGCAAGGTCTGGAGTTGGGAATGACAGTACAGGAGACCATTTCAAGGAAGGGATTGTTAGTCATATGTAATATTTAGATAAGTCAGAGAGAAGAGAGCTGCCCATAAATCATCGGACTCTACAGTGAAATTTCCCAAGCTTGGCACCATTAACAGTTGGGGCTGGATAATTCTTTGCTGTGTGGCTGTCCTGTGCATTGTAGAATGTTTAGCAGCATACCCAGCCTCTACCACTAGATCCCAGTAGCACTCTGCAGTTGTGACAACCAAAAAATGTTTCCAGACATTGCTAAGTGTCCCCTGGGGGGCAAAATTGCCCCTAGTTGAGAATGACTGCCCTTTTATTTGCATTTTAATTTTGGCCTCATTTCTTTATGGATCCCTTTTCTTTTTGGGTCTCCTACTTCTGATTGATGCTCTCCCACTCTATTTTATGTGTCTTTTCTCCTCATTGGAATCGGGCAGGGTATAAATAAATAAATAAATGTCACAGACGTGTGGTCACTGGTGTCAGACGCTGCTGGAGCTGGGATAGTCAGAGGACTGAGCGGAGGCTGTTGGATTTGGCAGTTAGGTGCTCGCTGGCGACCTATGAGAGAGGAGTAGGGGTGGAGGCCAGATTGCCAGGGATTAACGAGCGGGTGGGTGGTGAGGAAGCGGAGGTGGCAAGCATAGAGGACTCTTTCAAGAGCACCAGGCAGTGACGGGAAGCAGAATGACATAACGGTAGTCTGAGAAGGAAGCAGCTTTTTTAAAATTAAAGGATAGCCAAGCTGGATTTAGTTGAGGGCAAAAAACCAGTGAGAGGGAAGGACTGAGCTTACCGCTTGCAGGATGGATCCCCGGAGGAGAAGGTGTAGAGCATCCTGTGGAGGGAGCAGGGGAGCTAGTTGCTCTGAGACAGGAGGGCGTGGAAAGAGAATCAATGAAGTCACACGCAAATTCTGAGTGGAGGCGGTAATAAAGGTTGAAGGGGGCCCATTCTGAATGACCTTGAACTTCTCGGTGAAGGAGCAGGTCATTTCCTAGACAAGGTTGAGTGGACCGAGGAATAGGTTGGACAGACGGGAACTGAGGATTTACAAAGTTTCTTGATTTCAAGGTACAACTCCAACCTTCCCCGCCCTTCAAATGTGAATGTAAAGATGCATCTGAAGCTCAATGTCTCCATTTATTGTGGAAGTATCTTTTTTCTTGACAAGCTGTCATAACAATATGTGCATCTTCTATTTGAAGAGGTGTTAGAATTAAGAAAACATTGTAGTCACCCAGTAGTCTCAAGGGTCTCCTAGTGGAACTCAGTCCAGTCAATTGTGATCATGGCATTTACTTTAGGAATGTCCCATAGCTTAGGAACCCACATGGAGGAGAAAGAATGGCTGGGAATTGGAAAGGTGAGTATCAGTGCTTGCACTGTGTCAGGGGCTATGGAAGAAAAGCTTTTCCCTTTTTTCCTCATTGGAAAGTAACCTGCTCTATTAGGAACTACCTAAAATACATGGGAGATGTTTTATGTTGCAGGTCCTTAAACATTACTTTTGTCTCAAGGAATAAGCTTCTCTCGCTCCTCCTAATTTCACAGAGCCCGACGTTAATTTCACTCTTCCTTTGCCCTTTGTATTAACCATGTTTTAAGTTCCAGTGGCCTCTCTCAGCTCTACATCTGTTGCTGATTGTACATTTTAGTTATTTACAATTTGCCGCAATTTTCCTGCCTAATTAAAAAAAAATCACAGATGTCCTATATTTTCTCATTTGGAAGGTAATTGTAGTTCATATAAGGTATTAGGAAAATTATTATTATTTAAAAAGAATTCTGCTTGATATCCTACTTTAAGCTATTATATCACGGGGTCAAAAATGGCTTATAGATATGAAATGAAGTATATGTTACCATGTTGTTTTGATATGTATATATGAGGGAACTTCAAAAAGTTCATGGAAAAATAGAATTAAAAGATAATACAAATCTTTCCATGACCTTTATGAAGGTCATATATATATATCACAGAAAATTATAGTAAGGCTTTTGGCAGAAAGACTAGGAAATTGAACCGCTGTCTCTAAGTCACATGTGGTAATGTCACATATTTGATGCAGTCATTATATGGTGTTATAAAAAACCAAGAGAATAGATGACCAAGCAGCCAAAAACTGCATGTCGTATAAAGCAAACTTCTATGTACACAGAAATCTGGTTTAATCGCCATGCTTAGTGAATTCTATGTTCTCCAATTGATATGATACAAATGACAAATTAGTGATATTTATGCAGAGAACAACTTTTAGAATATTCCACAGGATTCAGCCCAGTGAATCCCCTCATTCTCATGAACACACATCCATACTATTTGCAGAAAAGATTTCTACCATACTACCCAAAAGTAAATGAAACGTATTGGCTATCATGAGGAACTAGGAAGCTCTGAAAGACTTTCTAAATTGTTAGAGATGTGGAAATGTTCAGAATTTGTTATCTTTTGTTCTCTTTTTATTTGACTTTAATAAAGCAGATGCTCTGCTAAGTTTGGTTATTATAAACATACCAGCCTGAGTCAGGATAGGCTAGGATCTCTTACAATAACAAATTACCCCAAAGCTTCAATGGCTTAGAACAACAAAGGCTTATTTCTATTACCCAAAGTTACATTTCTGTTGTAGATTAGCAGGAAGCTCTTCATAATCCTTTAGAATTCATAATCAGTGATTTAAGATGATTGAGGGGCCACTATTTCCAACACCGAGAGTTGCCATGCTAAAGAGAAGTGGAGGGGGTGCACCAGAGGGTCTTACACCAGGAGTTAAATGCTCGCCTCCTGTGACATGTCACTTCCATTCATTACTCAGTGGGCAGAACTAGTCACATGGCTCCACCCGAACACAACAGGGCTGGAAAATTCAGTCCCACCATGTGACCAGAAATCAGACAGCATAAAATATTTGGGAGCGGCATTTTTGACAACCATAGTTGTCAAAACAACCAATTTTCATTCCCTGAAAATTAAAAATATAGTGTTAGTTTACTATACTGTACAGAGTGTAGAGTACTAAAAATAGTTTGTCATGTTACTATAAAATCATCTGTATAATTATACAAAATCAGGTAATGGGTGGGCAAAGTCTTCATAAGCAGTAACATGCTATACAAATGTCACTGTGTAGATTTATAGATATATATGTCAAATAATTAAGCATGGCATATAATTCTTTCCCAAAGTCTGACATGAATCAAGGTTCTTTCCCTATGTCATGCATTTCTCCTACTTTTGGTTAATCTATGGATAATGTCTAGCGTACTTAGCATGCCTTAGACCGAATTTTACACTATAATGTAAAACAGTAACTACTGTAGAAAAATTTCAAGTGGTTTTGCAAAATTCCTGCTACTCATGTCTACATCCACTTCCTATTTTAGATACGGTTTTCTCATATGTAAAAAGAAATGGGAAATTTTAAATTTTCTCATGCTTCTGTTATTCATTATTCTTTGTGACCATAATTACTCATTCATTTAAATACTCTTATTTTTTTAAAGAAGCTGGCTAACATTAGGTAGCTGTTAGGGCACAGCATATTTTTGATGTACATGTTATTTAAATACCTTCAGTAGTGTTCATTTACCTCTTCCTGTTTTATCTTTTAACTAAACACAGAGTTTAAAGTCTAACCTCAGATGCAAATCTCCCGTTCCTAAAGAAATTTATAGTTTACTTTATATATACATTTTACACTATATATAGTTGGTTATATCCAGGGACTATCTAAGAAGTAGAGACTTTTTAAAAAAAGTTCCCAGGTGTGTTAGTTCATTTCTGTTGCTTATAGCAGAATACCTGAAACTGGGTAATTTATAATAGAATGAAATTTATTACTTACAGTTTCCTAGGCTGGGAAGTCCAAAGTGCAGGGAACACATCTGGTGAGGGCCTTCTTGGTGGGAACTCTGTATAGGGTCCCATGGTGACCAGGGTATCACATGGCGAGAATGGGCTGAGCAAGAGCAAGTAAACCTTCTCATTCGCTCTACTTATAAAGCTATCAGGACCACATCCATGAGCACCCATTAAACCATCAACTCGTTATTCCATGAATGGACCAATCCATTCACTCGTGTGCACTGGCCATCCCTATACAGGATCCGAACCCGCGGCCTCGGTGCTAACAGCACTGCATTCTCCCGAGTGAGCCACGGGGCCGGCCCCCAGTCTCCTCTTAAAGGCCCCATCTTTCAAGGACCATAATTGGATTTTCCACTCTCTTCATACTGTTACAATGAGAGTCAAGTTTCCAATATGTGAACTTTTGGGAGACACTTTTAACCCATAGCTCCAAGGAAGGTATGGAGTTTCGAGAATGATAGAAGGCAAAGATCACTTACTTATAATTAGTACTCAGATTTTTCTGCAATATAGTTAACCCCTTTGGTAAACTGTAATGGAAATTATGATGCACATATTTGGGTGTAATTCAAAGGAACATCCCAGAGCATTTGCTTGCACAAAAATATTTGTAATTTTACTTACTCATGCTTTCACACTTTTTCAGAACTGATTTTTTGTTTTGCCTGTCATGTTTGCAATGCCAAATAATTCTTTTTCTCTATGATGGCAAATACATATTACAAAACTGAATGGATCTTCCTCCCTTTTTTTCTATTTGTCTAACAGCGCTTCCCAACAGAGGACCATCTAATGATTCACAGGCACAAGCATGAGATGACTCTGAAGTTTCCCTCAATAAAAACAGACAATATGTTATCAGGTAAGCAGCCATCAGGCGAAGAAGCTCTGGGTGATCAGAACAGTTCTGTGTGAGATACTTATTCTCATTTTGATAGGCTGATTCCCACTGGCAAATTCTGCATCTTGAAAATACAAGTTTCTAAGGTATAGCAGAAGCATAATCAGCTAATGTAGTGTTCACTCAAATAATTGAAGAGCTGTGGCTTCTCATTTTGTGGAATGTGAAATATTTATTACCATGAAACTTGGCTCCACATTAGTCTTTTAAAAAATCACATATCTGTAAGCACTCAAGCAACAAAATATTAATTGAGCATCTATAATGCACACTGTACTGTTCTGAGTGCCATGGGAGATGCAAAGATCGATGTGCTTCCTGTCCTTGAGGACATCACAATGTGTCATGCATATGAAAACTTAGCTGAAATAAAGGATCATCCATGATACCTATCAAATGAGTATTGTGAGAAAAAAAGCTAAGCTGCTCTCTTTCTGGACTAAGGTAGTCAGTGAATGCTTCCTTAGGAAACAGTACCTACCTCAGAAGAGGCAGATTAAATGAAACAATGCATGGAAACATAGCAAGTGCTCAGCAAATGTGAGCAGAAATAAGTAATAATAATAATTAATCCATTAACTAATTGCCATTTCTTCCCACTTTGAGAAGTACTTGTGGTAAATTAGAAAGAGTGCAGGGATAGGAGTCAGGAAACTGGACTCTAGCCTGGGCTC